ATCAGGAAAATTTTCTTTGAGTTTCTTCAGGTAAGGGAAACTGACAAAATTTTGACAGCCAAGCTGCTTTGAGAACAGCTGCAGTTTTAGTTTGAAAGCATATACAGTCTAAAGTCTTTAATCCGGACGTCCATAATCCGGAATGATCTACAATCCGGATCTCAAAGCTACGAACTTTCGGCGCATGCGTAAACACATAATGCGATTATGCATGCGCAGAAATGCGCATAATACCTTTACGCATGCCCATTTAATGTATAACGGATGGTATAAGCTAAGCTAAAATTATCTAATTATCTATTTCAGTTAATGTTGCAGATTGCGTTGTTCCTTAATCTTCTAATTGGATCCGGCTTATTATTTTTTGCAGACTGTTAGAGCAATTTTATAAAAGTAAGCTTGAACTTTCGATTATGTCAAAAAGAATTTCCGAGTCTGGAGCTGCCAAAGGATCTACAAAGCGAAAGCATGTTTCGATGTCCATCAAACAAAAAGTGGAATTGCTGCGAAAAATGGATAAAGGCATATCCTTTGTTTCTCTAACCATTCCGAATCTGTTTATCAATTTCACGCTGCTCTGCGGGGGGGAAGGGTTGTCGTTGCGGCACGCAATGAACTGGAAGTTGATCTGTCAGCACTCTCCTTATCTTCAGGGCAGACGTTTTTATTTTATTCGGCTTACAATTCCTTATTAAATGTAGTATTTCATCTCAATGCACTCTGTCTTTATTTTGATTTAAATCAAATTCCTCGTCAAAAAAATTTCAACGTAAAACAAATTAATGTGTAAGAATCTAATTAAGGATTGAGGAAATAAGATTACGTTAAAAGGATTACTTTAAAATTTAAGATAAAATATTTGAGTGGAGTTTAAAGTAAAAATGAATGTTGATATGATAAAGATAAAACGTGCAATGGCATGCAGTGCTTTCACTAGAACGGTTAAGGTTCTAAAGAACGAAATTAGTAAAAATGCTCAAGCAGATAAAGCTGTGTTAAAAAGATAAAATTGTGAAGTTACAAACGATAACTGCCGAGTTAAAATCTTATGATTTGGAGGTACTAGATTTATTAATTAAGGGCAGTGCCACTGAAGATAATTTAGAAACCGAAGTTATAAGCTGTGAGGAATATTCTGATGAATTCATCACAATTGAAAGAAAAGTTAGTGAATTACTAAATGTAAACAAAGTTCCAAATGACGCAGTTTTTAGTAATTCTGATGTCAGTAGTAACCCTAAAGTCAAACGGTATAAATTACCTAAATTGAATATAAAACCTTTTGATTCTCAGTTAATTAATTACAGGGTTGCCACTCAAACAGGAGAATGAAATTCCCTGACTTTTCCAGGTTTTCCAGGTGTGTTTCAAGAAAATTCCAGTCTATCCGCGTAATGTACGTTGGCTGTGCTAAGAGGTAAATTAATTATGGTATTACTTGTATTGTGTAGCAAATTCACTTAATTATTCAATAAATCCCAGAGGACATTTATTCTTAATTATTCTTGATATACTTTGTTTGATAATTTTGTGTAGTTTTCCACTTAAGAAACTTAATAAAATTTAAGATATATACATTGGATAACAAATGTATGTTTTATTTAATTATTACTCATGATCATCACCAGTTCAACACGAGGCTAATCCGGTCCTTATAAATCACAACGCAATGCTAAATAGTTAGGTTAGATTTTAGGTAAATTTAATTTGCGTGAGGTATGTTCTTAAAAGGCACCTTAACACTTGAAAACACAAATATACTTATAATAGTTGTTGTTTTCTCCACTGAAGATTGAGATTAGAATCTTCCCAATCTGGAATAAAATAAGGCTTTTTTTGCAGACATTCTGCAGCTAAACGAAAGAAAGAAAATCTATTTTAATAAATTGAGGTATTTTATATTTATTTTGCAGCACAAATAAGGAAAAAATATGTGCATTAAATTTCGTGATGGTATGTCATCATACTGCTATAATTAATTTTAGGATTATGCCAGAGAAAATTTCCTGAAATTTGGAAATATTATTTACTAAAAATAAATAAATTTAGAGGGAAGAAGCAACATTAAATTATATGAATAACATAAAAATAATTACTTAAAAATTGAATTAGAATAATCAACGATATTTTAGCGAATATAGTTATATTACATGGCTAGCCTAGATGACTCATTACTATTTTTTATTTTACTGCAAAATGGCAAGGTATTTATTAAAAAGAAAAAAAAAAGGTTTAAAAAAATTTTGCGGTAAAAAATTCTAGTACACGGTAAGGCTTTGGCACGATTTTGAAAATTGTCGCCAAGACCAAAATGACCCGTTTACTGCGCATCATGATGTCGCCAAATCCCATTGTTATTCTAAACAAAGAACGTCTATGTAAAGAAGAAAAGGTTCCATACAAGTAAAATGCTATTACGCCGTTAGAATGCGGAGGGAAAATTTGCCAAGGGATTTGGTGACGGAACCTGGCGGCCGGAATTTCTCTCTTTGCGATCTTGATGTGTACAGGAAATTGAGAAACACGTGTTAAGAAGAAACGCTCTTTGACAAAAAGAAAACTACAAAAATCCGTTTTTAAAATTATTGCGCAATAATTTTAAAAAACGGATTTTCGTAGTTTTTCCCCCCCCCTGAAAATAACTAATCCATGAATTAATTTACTTGCGCCAAAAAATATTTTCTTTTCCTTTAGAGTTTAACCACTTGCACTAAGACTAAACTTCACGGTTGCGGTGCCGTGCGCTACAATATAACAAGCGGTAAAGTGTCTCATTTACGCCGCTCCGCATCTGCGAGTGCAATCCAGAGCTGTAACTCGAGAAATAAACAATCTCGTTGTTAGGCGACGTGTGCACCACGTTATTTTCATTTTTGCGATAAATGCTTATTGACGTGGTGTTCACGTCGCTCAAGGTTTGAGACAAAAGCATCTCTAGCGCAAGTCGTTCAAGAAATTTTAAACGATATTCATTTTATGAACTCTTGATAACGTGACCTTCGAACTTCGACACCGGTTTCGAGCTTCGGCGACAGATATATCAGACATGCACAGCTGTTTCCCTCTATGATGGAACGGAGCCACGTCTGTTGCAGAGAGGTTTTCCTTCTTTACAATACATATTCTTTGATTCTAACCTCCATGGTACCGTATACTAGGATTAAACCCATTTTGTTTTATACGAGAACAGGTACTTTCTTTAGTTCATGCACTGCACATGCGATTCTTGAGAATACTGGAAACCAAAAGTTGCGGGAAAGTTGCTTTGCCTTTCTAAAAGACAATCAAATTGGAGCTGCGAAAATTGGCTCTATGCCAGCTACCCGAATGACACTCACGTGATACATAATTCGCCAAAAAAATTATCTCTTCCGACGTCGGCGCAAAAATCGCTTTTTTTGGCGGCATCGTTGTATGAACTTCCCTGACTTTTCCAGATTTTGACAAAAATACTTAAATTCCCTGACTTTTCCCTGAATATTTTGGTCAATTTTCGAATTCCCTGACTTTTCCCGGTTCTCCCGGTTTTCCAGGTAGCGTGGCAACCCTGTAATTATTTGCCATTCTGGGCACAGTTTAAGAAGATACATGAAGATAAAGAATTAGATGATTGTGATAAGTTCCAATATTTGCTACAAGCTATAGAACCTGGAACTCGTGCTAGGCATTTATTAGAAAGTTACCCGATAACTTCAGAAAATTCTTTGAAAGCTTTGCGAGCTTTTCAAGAGCGTTATGGGGACAAAGATATTCTTATAAAAGTTTATGTCAGGGAATTTTTGAAATTAATTACAGCAAATATTCAAGCTACGGGTAAAGGCAGATTATCATTGTGTGACTTATTTACCAAGGTAGAAGCACATTTAAGGTCTTTAGAATCCATGGGGCTTGATATAGAAATTAATTCAGCCTGGCTATACCACATGATAGAATCCTGCTTACCTGATGATATTTTAAGAGCATGGCAGAGATGCAATATTAGGGGAAAGGAAGATTCTGATAGTGAAGCGAGTTTTCCAAAGTCGAGTTTAACGTTATTAATGAACTTTTTGAAGAGGGAGGTAGTGGGTGAAGAAAGATTACAGTTAGCCAGGTCAGGCTTTGAAAGTATTATCCTAAAAGAGAAAGTAAAAGAGAAAATACGGAAAAGGGATAACAAGTACCCTACTGCAGCCGGTTTATTCTCTGGTAAAGAAATGTCATGTTTGTTCTGTGGTAAGTCGCATGAAAGTACGGACTGCGTAGTCGCCAGATCGTTCTCTCTGGGAAAGAAAATAAAGAAAGTCAGGGAAAAGAACTGTTGTCTGAAATGTTTATGCTTTGGTCACCGTGCCAAAATGTGTAAAGTTTTCGTACGCTGCCATGTCTGCTCAAAACCTCATACAGAGCTTTTCTGTCCTGAAATAGGTAAAACGAAAGAAATTAGTGATAAAAGTAAACCCCTAGTGAATATCCAGAACACACTTGCAAATCAGCAGTGTTCAAAAGAAGTAGCTCTCATGACACTATAAATACTAATTAAGGGTAATAAGAAAATTAAGAAGGTTAGGGCACTATTGGACAGTGAGTCCCAAAGGAGTTATATTTTAAAGAGCACCGCGAAAGAACTTGGTCTCTCGCTACAGCAACTATTACCCACACGGTATTTGGAGGTGCAGAAATAGAAGCTAAATCTCATAGTAAGTATAAAATTAAATTAAGTGCACCGGGTAATGGTCATAAATCAGTTATCACAACCAAATTCCTTGACCAAAAAAAGATATGTGGGAACTTTCCCCGCATTCCAAAGGAGTCTGTTTTAGATGAGCTTAAGAAACATAGATTATGGATGTCAGATATTGGTACTGGATGTCCTGAAATAGAAATTTTAATTGGCAGTGATGTTTACGGCCAACTCCTAACAGGACGAATCAAGCAGCTGAACTACGGTCTAAGGGCAATTCAAACAAAACTTGGATGGACAATTTGCGGTTGAGTTAGAGAATGCATCCCAAGGTTACATGAATAGTGGTACAGCTACGTTGATGACTAATTTATCTCTGAGAGAACTTAGCATTCCAGATCTATGGCGGATAGAAACAATAGGAATTAATGATCCCGCTGAAACATTGTCTAAAAAGGAAAAAGAAGAGCTAGCCCATGATTTGTTCCTCAAAGAACTTACGAGAAGTGAAGACGGGCGTTACCGTGTTGGTCTTCCATGGACTTGAATTAACCCAAACATTCCTTCAAATAGAAATGAAGCAGAAAGAAGGTTGTTTAGCACTACAAGACTGAAGAAGTTAAGTAAATTTGAAGATTATGACCTAGTCTTTAAAGAATGGCAAAAAGAGAATGTCAAACAGGAAGTCTCAAAAAAGAAACTAGCAGAAGTAGGAGGCCATTACTTGTGTCACCATCCAGTTATTAAGCCAGAGAGTGTTACTACGTCTATCAGACCAGTTTTTGACGCCTCGTGCAAAGTTGGAATAGCACCATCTCTAAATGATTGTCTCTTCAAAGGACCAAACTTGATAGAAGAAATTCCCGCTATATTATTGAGATTCCGAGAAAAGGCTATTGCTGTTGTATCCGACATTAGAAGAGCCTTCCTCCAAATTGAAGTTAAGGAAGAAGATCGTCGATTTTTGCGATTTTTATGGTGGGAGAAGGAAAATAAAATTAAAGTCTATCAACACAACAGAGTGTTATTTGGAGCTACTTGTAGCCCTTTTTTACTCAGCGCAGTTATAAGATACCATTTGAACAAGTATCCAAAACAACTCAAAACCAGTTACTGACAAACTCCTGAAGTCCTTCTATATTGACAACTGAGTAACTTCCGTAGACAGTGTATCCGAATTAGAAGAATTTATCTTAAAGTCAACTAAAATTATGGCTGAAGTTAAGATGGATTTGAGATTATGGCAATTTGGTCCGATAGAAGAAATAGAAAAATTGTCAACTGAGAACAGAAGTTTGTTTAAAGAAGATCTTACAACTCCAGTTTTGATTTTGGGGATTAGATGGGATAGAAAGGAGGATTGTTTAATGATCTGCAATGAATTTGACGCTGAAACAGAAAATCCTACTAAATGGAAGATCTTGTCTATAACACAAGGTATTTACGATGCCATCGGTTTTCTCATCCCAGCATTGTTGCTGGCCAAGCTAATAATTCAGGAGGCCTGGTCAGCTAAGTCAGAATGCGATTCCCCGCTTTCAAAGAAGATCCAAAAGGACTTTCAGAAATGGTATAGTGAATTGAAACAATTATCTAACTTAGAGGTAAACAGACACATAGGTTACGGAAATAAAGAAAAATGGTCTATACATGTTTTTGCGACGCAAGTCAGAATGCATATTTAACAGTAATTTTCCTGCACTGTGAAGATAATAATAGGATTTCGGTACAGCTTCTAGGAGCAAAATCTCAACTTGCGCCAAAAAAGACTTTGACAATCCCGCATCTAGAACTTCTTGCTTGTGTTTTCAGAGCCAGATTAGCAAACTGTATTCGTGAGGCTCTGGATGTCCCTACAATACCAGTTTATTACTGGACAAACTCTTCAACTGTTATAGCATGGAAACGAAAAAATGACCAATGGGGTACTTTTGTGGGTTACAGAATCAGAGAAAAATGCAAACTCACAGAATCATACCAATGGTATCTTGTCCCAGGTAATCTAAATCCGGCAGGCAGACCTGCCATCTTGTGGTTGTAGTCCAAGACATCTTATCGAGACGAGATGGTGGGTGGGACCAAAATGGTTAAAAGACGAAGAAAATAATTGGCCCAAATCAGAACAGGTTACTAATGAAGATTTAGTTATGTCAGAAAGAAAGAAAATTGCAATATCATTATTTACCTGTACAAAAGTAGGTCAATTCATGAATTATGAGAGAATTTCGAAATTTTGCAGATTTGTAAATATTATTTGTTGGATGAAAAGATTCATATCCAAATGTAGAAATAGAAATTATTTTTTCCCATCTGAGCTCTTGATCGAAGAAAAGAAAGAGGCAGAGAAGTTGCTTTGGTCAAGAATTCAGTTAGAAAATTTTGGTGATGTCTCAGGTACTGTCAAAGGTCTTGTCGTTGTGAAAGATCAAAATAACATAATACGAGTGAAAACCAAGCTGCTAGAACGTGATGACGAATTTTCATTCAAATATCCAATTTTGTTGCCATCAAAGCATCATGTAGTAAACTGTTTAATACGAGATTGCCATTTAAAGAACTGCCATGCTCGTCTCCAGACTGTTGGTTCCATCCTGAGAGAAAATTATTGGATTATTTCCGCTAAATGGCTCATTCGCAGCATAAAAAATCTTCTTCTAAGAACACTTGGTAGATCATCACTCAGTTTTGAAGACCTTTCAACGATATCATGTGAAGTTGAAGCTGTAATGAATAATCGACCTCTTAGATATATTTCAGAAGAATCTGACAAATTTATTCCTTTGACTCCATCATCTTTTATTCAAGACATCCAAGAAATTGGGATACCTGATCTAGAGAAAATTAATTTCCAGAAACTTCAAAAAAGATACCGGAAATGCCAAATATAAAAACATAAATAGAGAAATAGATTTCGAAAAGAATATTTGGCAAATCTCGCTCAAAAATCAAGAGAAAAATGCTTAAGTGATCCAGACGGGTGATGTAGTACTAATTGAACTTGACAACCGAAAGAGACTTAACTGGCCAATAGGCAAAGTCACAAAATTGTTTCCAAGTAGAGATGGTTGTACACGTGTGACAGAGGTAAAAAACTCTTCAGGAACTTTTGTATGACCAACTCGTAAACTTTGCCATTTGGAGATATCTAAGAACGATGGCCTAGTAATCCAGCTGATGAAATGTATGAACACTTTTCACAACTCAATTTTAGAACTTAATTTTTTTTTGGCTTGAAATTTTCATAGATATTAGTTTTATTTCATTCTATTATTTTTTAGTAATGATGTAAATTTAATTTTAATGTTTAATTTCTGGCTTCCATCATAAATTAAAGGTGGGAGTATGTTAAATGTTCATATAAAGTGTCTTTCCCTTGCTAGAGGGCCCTAGAGGTTCCATTAGTGAGAGAAATCAAAACTTTACTTTTATTATTTTTTTTTGTAAACGGTAGATAGTTAGTCGGTTTCGAATCCATGTGATGGACGGATAAATTGTTTCGTACAGCCATAAGAGAAAAAGAGAGGGAGGCTGTACAAGAAAATGTATTTAAATCTTAATTTTTTTTCCTTTTGAATGTTTTATGTAAATAAAATGTGATGTCAAGAAATTCAATTGTGGTTTTTCTATAAAGAAGATTGTCAGCTGAAACATCCCGTCAGATTCAACAATGCATCAGAACAGGTAAATGAATTTTCTTCTTGTTTTTTAAATCAATTAGATAAATAGAACCTGCATATGTCAGTGGATTCTGACAACTTAGATCAACAGTAGTTGATTAATTATGTAATAGAAGCAGTGCCCTTTGTCTTTTAAAAGCTTTTGCCTTTATGAAAATGGCCTTTTTTTAGCTTTAAATGACACGTGTTTTCCATTGCAAAACTTCTAAGCAGGAGAATCAGCACTCCATAAACTTGCTGCCATTGAACATGTTCATGAATAATTTTAATAAATTTAATTCCACGGGACATTTCATTCTTCAAACCAAAACCACCCACAGCTAAATTTATGCAGTCTTCGAAATCTATTTCTGATTTAAAAAATTTTAATAAATTGTTAAATCTACATTTTGCATCTGGGCTACATTTACACTTCTTTGATAGGCTCTTAATTCCTCAGGTAAACAAACCCAACTAGAAGGTAATGAAGTATAGCACTTTTATCTGTAGTGACGTTAAAGTTTCCACAGCCCAAATTTGTTGTTCCAGATTATCATACAATGCACATAAGTTATTAGAGGAATTACTAGAATTTGCATTTCTCAGAAAATATTTTAACAATCCTCTCACGAAACACTCATTTTAACATAAATAAGTCATCAGAAAATGTATGGCCTTGGGACAATTAGCAGCTGCTAGGGGGAAAACTTTCTAAATTAGCAGAAGTTGTTAAAAGAGAACATGTGCTCATTCACATAACCCATATTTACACGGTAGTTTGGGATTCATCAGAGCCCCATCATCTCATAGACTTGTTTGTTTGTCTATGATCTGTGTTCTCACTGGCCAGTTGTTTATGTCGCAGGTACCCATTTCTAGCTTATTAGTGGAACTGCTGTAATTACTATTCCTAGTAACTTTTAATGGAGACAGAAGAGAAACACATCTCAAATAAATCATAAAAATGAAGCAACAACCTGTGTTAGGCATATATTTTTAGCACAGAAAATCTATCAATTTGAAGGGCGAACAAAGTCCCTCTTCTTCAGGAGCAAAGAAATCTGCAACTGAAAAAACAAATTACGAATATATTTATACCCTAAGGAAGTCGAGAAAGATGAGAGAGTAGCACCATCTGTTAGCAGAAATAATAACAAAAATTGAAAAAATTGAAAAATAATAGAGATTTAAAAGTGTTAGGTAGGATTGCATTAAAATCATTAACTAAGCACCGTAAGCTTTTGTGAATGTGAAAAGCTTCAAGAAAATTTAATTATCCAGGGAAAGAAGCTTTCTGGATAATTTTTGCAGACCCAAAGTCGAAATTGTGATTAAATTTCCAACTATGATTAGCAATCAAAGATTTGTAAATTCCTTCTTTTGGACATAAGATTTATGTTCCTTAATGCAAAACCTTAATGCTCTTTTGTTTTGGCTGATATATATCGAACCACACTGACAAGATAAGATATGCTATAAAATTTCTCAAGAATTGACAAGATATGCTATAAAATTTCCCAAGTCCCCCCCCCAAAAGCACGACTAGATTATTAATGATTTGTTATTAAAATTTACATTATGAGTAATTAAGTGGCAAAATGTACCTTTCTGGGTTTCTGAAATTTTGGAAAATTTAAATGCTTCTTTGATAGGAGTGATGATTTGAGAAACTGAAGGTTTAGATGTCTTAAAAATATTGAAGTTATATTTGAATAATTAAGACACAATAACACGCCAAATAAATACTAATTCAGAAGTCAAACAACAAAATTCAGCATTATATTTACAAAATTTTCACAGGACTAGTTTCGATGGTTTTACCAAACCAGCATCCTCAGCTGCAAAACCACAAATGAACAAGATAGGAAATAATGATTACATAAGATAAGAAAGCATGTACAAGAATAAGCAAGTGGCCCCATCTGTTGGTGAAACCAGAACTAAAACATAATTTCTTTAAAGGCCGATATCATCAGAATTGATCGTATCTACAAGTCAGAAGAATATGAAGAATGCATAAAGATGTTAAGCAAAATTTAAGGTAATACGAACTGGCACTGATCAAATCAAGTTAAAGATGTTAAAGAAGTCGGGGACTAGTTTTTATGAAAGCTTAAGAGTATCAGATGAAAGCTACAGCAGGCATATCAGAAATGAAGCTAAAGTAGCCTTCACAATATCGTTAATATGGCATTTCATCATCTGTGACCCATATAAAGTCAAGACATCTCTTTTTCATATGCGGTTAGAAACAATATATGTTTACCCTCAGAAAATTTTGCAGCATTTCCTTGACCCTGTCAAACCAAACAGCATTTAGTGAAGGAAAGAATTTGATTAATGTAAAGAAGATCATGGATGTTCAAAAGAGCATTCAATACATACCGATTGAGCATACGGACTTTCAAAACTTCATCATGCACTAGCCGATAACAGGAATAGAAAGCAACAAGGAGAATGGCGAAAAAGAGGATTAAAGTTTCATTATAATTGACTACACTCTTGTTTTTTTTCTACTTATTGTTTATTATCACATTTTTAACAGATTTCACTACTTTTAAGTGTATTTACCTAACAAAATACAATTTAAATTTTAATGCTATTATATTTTATTATTTTATAATTTCACAACAGATTATACCTAATTTTCTTAGCAATGTTTTTCTATAGCTACATTATCTTAATGTAACATTGGGTTTTAGAAACAACAACAAATTTTTCATAACAGTGAGTGTTTTTCTATTTCATGAAGCAATTTGAGAAGAAAAAGTATTGCAATTTGTAAAAAGGAGATAAGTTTATTTATTAATATTTTTTTAATTTTAATTTTATGTGCAAGAAAGGTCCATGAACAACAGAATTGTTTAAATGGCAATGGATCACTTGGATCCTAGTTAAACCAGTCTCATAATTTTTTGTTTTCAACTTATCACATTCTTGCGGGGGGTTGTTCCTGTAAAACCCAACATTTTTAACATGATAACTTTTCACACCTAACAATTTAATTACATCTTTCTTTCAAAATGCAATGTATTGCATTTACATACTGGTAAATTTCTTTTCTTGTCATAAAATCAGTGACAAAACATTTACATGGTTAATCCAACTGATTAAGAAAGAAATAAAAGAAGTAAACTTACTAGAAATCTTAAAGACACAAAATCAACAACTGAGTAAAGCTGAGTTCAATATAAAGTTTGGAATGAAAGCATATGGCTGATCTTAAACATCCAACTTCATTTGGGAATATAATGAAACCTACAAAAGTAAATAAGTTATAACATAAGAGAATACATAAAAGAAACTCAGGTTACTGCTTTATAGTCTAATGATTTATTTCACTTAACTTTAGACATAACTATACATAAAAATGCACTCTGAAAATTTCATTTAACTTTAGACATAACTATACATAAAAATGCACTCTGAAAATTTTTACATTGATCATTCACATTCTTTTTTTAAATATGTCTTCAGAACATTTCAGTTAATGCGTTACATTTAAGGAGCTATCATAAATCAAACTTAAAAAAATGGCACTATTCAAGTAACTAAGTGAGATTCAAATTAATTAATGACTATTATTTAAATAGAGATAATTATATGAGAACTATATTAGTTCTGAAGATACATAACATTTTTTGTCATTTGGCTAATGTTTATTAATATATCAGGGTTCGTACACATTTCTGCACACGAAATTAAGTACTTTAAAGGACCATTAATGAAAAAAAAATTAAGGACCTATGAGCAAATGGGAACGGAATAAATTAAATTAAAATATTATCTATGCCTGAATTTCACTTTTGAAATACCATCCTAAAAATGAAATAGATCCCTAAGCATTATTACTAAACATGAATTAATTAGCATAATCATTAATATCTTCTAATAATTAATTAATATTAATCATTAATTAATATTAATTAATTATGAATTAATTAGCATAATCATTCAGTTTGAGAATAAAATAAACTTTATTGCAGTTTATCAAGTAGCATTAATTATTTTACACTTATTATAGTTGGACATATTTGAAAGAAGATAAGTGACATCTATGTTTTACTAACAGTTAGCTTTATGTTGATTTTTTTTTTTTTTTAATGTCTCATTTTGTAACATACTTGGTCAGTCTAGAGGTTTAGTAAATAACAGGTAGATTTTTATGCCAAACGACATAGGTTAAAATGAGAAGTAAGATCATAATCAGCATGATTCACAATCCCCCAATAAGCCTGAATATTGTCACCACTGCTGCTTGTCGAGAGAGAGAACTTGCTGATTAGAACAAAACCTGAAAGGCCTGTTGTAGGCACGGTTGGCAAGTGTTGAAAGTTAGTCAGGCTCTGTTTGATGCAGTTAGTGTCATAGCTTTGTGTTAAAGTTTCAGGGGTTGTAACCCAATTAATGTACTTTAAGGTTCCAATAAGCCATTAAAGCATTAGAGGTGATAAGTTATTTTGTACTATTTTAAGTCTCACTAAATGCAAAGAATAAATTTTACTTAAATTTTTACATTTTTGTGCTTTATCTTGTGACTACAGTGAGTATTAATGAAATGCAATAACTCACTTTAATATGTAGAGATAATTTTTAGAGGTAAGCAGTTAGTTATAAAAAATTAAATTAGGTAGTTAAATAACCTTAGTCATTATGGATTTACATGGCCACTATTAAATTTTATTTTTTAACAATATTTGCTAAAAAAGTCCTATTAAAATCAAAACCTAATAAAATTCACAGTTTAAAATACATGTAATTAATGACATTTATTCTTAAATGATATTAGGATAATTAAAGCATTAAAACCTATAAAAGCATTTATGTTTTTGTAACAACAACACTCAACAAAATATTTATTTGTCAGTTTAATTTGAAGCCTTCCCAAACATTTTGGCTAGTTTATATCGATTTCCTTCTCTTTAATTAAATTAGCAGAAAATGCTAAAATCAAAAAATACAACTATGGATGGCAGTCGGCACAATGAAAAAGAACAGGAGAAATTCCTATATCATTGAAAAAATATGCGTAGTAATCTTTATTCATCGACAATAGTGGAACATGATAATATCACACTTACCGTCTATCAAGGCAAAAGAAAAGCATTTTTCTACTGAGCTCACTACATTCTACTGTAAAAACTGAAGACAATCTCAGGAAGTTGCCTGATTCAATAGCATTTTACAGCGCAACTAAGTATGGTGTGGATATTTGTGATCAGATGTGCCGAAAATATTGCGCTAAATCAGCTTTTAGAAGATGGCCTGTACATATTGTTTTCAATATTTTGGATCACGCAGATTTTAACGCTTAGATAACTTATAAAAGTGTAACAGGAAACACCATTAACAGGAGAGATTTTCTACTGAAATTAGGAGAGGAGTTAAGAGTGGTACATATGGCTTCAAAACTCCCAAAGATCTTTCCTGAGTCTTCAGAAAAAGCACATGAAAGAAAATGGTTAGAGAAAGAGAAAAAGTATCAATTACAGAGATGCAATGGAAACAAATCTAAAGAATACTGTGCATCTTGTTCCAAAGTTGTGTGCGGAAAATGCACTGCAAAAATTGTTAAAAATTATTTTTGTATCAACTGCATTAATTCTTAATATGTATGTGTAATCTCTAATATTTTAAACATTAAATAGAATTGAATACACATATAATGATATAACTGAAACATCAGAGAACATTTCTGGATTTAGAGAGAAATCATCTTCCGTGTAAGTACATAAAAATATTATTACAGTCAAAAGTCTTTAATCCGGATGTGTAATCTCTAATATTTAAACATTAAATAGAATTGAATACACATATAATGATATAACTGAAACATCAGAGAAGAACATTTCTGGGTTTAGAGAGAAAATCATCTTCCGTGTAAGTACATAAAAATATTATTACAGTCAAAAGTCTTTAATCCGGATGTTCATAATCCGGAATGATCTATAATCCGGACCTCAAAGCTACAAACTTTCGGCGCATACGTAAAACACATGCGCATAATACCTTTACTCATGCGCATATATGCATGCGCATAATACGTTTACGCATGCGCATTTAATGTATAACGGGCGGTATAAGCTAAGCTAAAATTATCTAATTATCTATTTCAGTTAATGTTGCAGATTGCATTGTTCCTTAATCTTCTAATTGGATCCGGCTTATTATTTTTTGTAGACTGTTAGAGCAATTTTATAAAAGTAAGCTTGAACTTTCGATTATGTCAAAAAGAATTTCCGATTCTGGAGCTGCCAAAGGATCTACAAAGCGAAAGCATGTTTCGATGCCCATCAAACAAAAAAAGTGGAATTGCTGCAAAAAATGGATAAAGGCATATCCTTTGTTTCTCTAACCATTCCGAATCTGTTTATCAATTTCACGCTGCTTTCGGACGGGAGGGGGGGGGGGACGTCACGGCGCGCAATGAACTGGAAGTTGATCTGTCAGTACTATCCTTATCTTCAAGGCAAATGTTTTTATTTTATTTGGCTTATAATTCCTTACTAAATGTAGTACTTTCATCTCGATGTACTCCATCTTTAATATGATTTAAATCAAATTCCTCGTCATTATAAATATTACAAATACACATCAAATAGTTTTCTGGTTGCAATTTTCTAATTTCAACTCTGCGTAATGTTTGCTTTATGCATGTGCACGTTGAAAGAAATGTTTAATAAAGTAAACAAATAAAAATTACGCTTTTTTTTGTAAATTCTAATACTCTTTAGATCATAACTGCTCTTTGTTTCATAAATTACGGTTTCATATTTTTAATTTTATAATTTCTGCATTCCATCTTACCAGATTTAAACTGATTATCTGTAATCCAGAAAAAACCTATAATCCGGAATCGCCAAAGTCCCGACGAGTCCGGATTAAGACTTTTGACTGTAAATTGCGTTTTATTTTAGTTAACATTAGTTTTAACTTGTGAAACCATTTATTTGAAATCAATTCTTATATCAAATTAATGAGTTATTTGAGTAATTGTATTATGATTTAATTGATAGCCATGTACTCGATACATTTACAGTATTTTAAAAAGTCAATAAATTATCATGTGATATTAAACATAAATATGAAATACATATAAAGTAATAAATTAAATATTAAATATTTGTGCAAAATATTTTAATAAATGCATTAACTATTAAATATTTAAGCAAATGTATGACATTTAAAATTGTTTTACCATTGTTATTTCAATACTTTCATCGAAGGGTTTAAATGACCCCATACCGCCGTTCCAGTAGGTAATATTTTCCCACCGTTCTAGTGTTAAAAGAAACCAACATTTTTATTAAAATACTCAGTAATATTAACATTGCAATATCTGTTTCATTTCCATTTTCCCGTAACTTGAATTTCATTCATCCTTATTGTTATTCCTGCTACTCCTGAAGCCTCAATTCATTCATAAGTAATTAAGGAAGCTGAATATGCAGCCAACTCTGTGAAATCATGGATTGAATATCCGTTCATGTTTGTTTTGCTGTGATTGGATCAGTTCTTATATTAGGCTGGCATAAAGATCAGCAGTTAGAAGTGAAGACATCGATGTATCTTCACAGGTGGTAGTTTATGAGGGTTGGCTTTGTTAGTAAGACGAAAACAATCACAATGTGTACAAATTCATTTTAATCTTCAGGGGAGCTCTTTTTTCAGTGCCTGAAGGAAAGGGAAAATTGCATAAATATCTTTTAAATTTTCAGATCATGGTGCTAAAAAGCTAAAGGGGGAAAATATACAAAGAAATGTGGTATTTATATGAGTTTTTTATATGCTAAATCACTAAGGCTGGGCAGGAGATTAATTAATACCAACAGCACTTTCTGCTTCATAGTCGAAATAAGAATATATTATGAGTCAAGCTTTTTTTATAGTGTTAAGTAATATTACCTTTCTGTATGTAAGTAATATTATGATTAAACAAGAATGCATTTCCAAACAAATGAAACCCTTATGGAAGTTAGATGCAACTGAAATCAAACCCGAGTTATGGTGTAGTATGGAATCTAACATTTTTAGTTAGTTGCTTCCACATTATCTAACAGAAGCATAGGGCAAATCTTGTTAATAAAAGTGATGACTATTTTTGGGTCATGATGTATTATAGTCATAATGTGCATGGCTGAACGACTCACAGGAACCGCCCTTTTAATGGCCATTCACAATTTTGTTTAATAAAATTGGAAGGAATTTGAATTTAGTGCAATTAACTTAATTACTAGAATCATTTTCATTTATATATT